GCTCAGGCTTCAAAAGGTTTCCAGAAGGTGAGGAATAAATTTGGTAGTAGCACCCTCATTTCTTCGAGCAGGGAAGTGTGTTATCTTGTCCCTGGAGATGTCTCTGCTCCCTGCTGCCCAGGAACCACAGAGCTCTTCTGGATTGGGTCCTTCAGTCAGCTGAGTCAAGGTCTGAGTTAAGGGGACCTCCATCACCCCATATTTGTGTGATCACTGCACAGCCAGGCAGCAAAGGCAACTGGAGTCAGAAGGTTTTCTATTTCTATCAAAGGGAAATTAAATTCATGTGTTTGGGGAGGAATACACTGGTGCATGGCAGCACTTCTAGGTGACTGACCTATTTATTGAGAGCTCAAGTATGATTTTAGGTAAGTATTCCCTTGAGGCCCTGGCCAACAGCTATACCAGGAATTTCCTAAAGGTGCTGCCTCCTTTACAGCCAGAGTCAATAAGGCATGAAAGAAATAAGATCTGAAACAGTGTAATGTATGAAATATGAATTGCACAGCAGCCTTGGATTACAGCAAGTCCAACCAAAATGCCTCGTGCTCCCCTTTACTTTTATTTCTATTAATATTCTTCAAGCAACAGCAAAGATCGATTTGAAGTCGAGAGCACAGAGAGTCATGGGAGTTTCATTAGCATGCAAATCTGAGTGAATTCATTAGCCCTGCAACTGATGCTGATGCTCCTGGAAACTAGTAAAAGAGTAAAGTCTGCAGAAGTAAATCAGGCCGTGCTAATGAGCCTGTTAATAAAGCTTTTGTAAGCCTTTTCCAGAGCCAAGGTGACAAAGCACGTTGTCAACGTTAAACCTCTGGTACTGTGCCTTAGATGAGGGACTCATATTTATCTATATTTTTTTTTTTGGGTGCTGGGGAAGAAAGCAGAGAACCGTAGCAAAGGTAGAGAACGAGACAAAGGCAGTTACAGAATTTCCTCATCAGAGAAAGTATTGTGTGGCTGCAGAAAAGAGACGAAATGACAATTGCAACTGTGCAAATAAGACCCATTTGACTGAAATTATATTTTAAAGAAAAACAGGAGACCAAATTTGTCATAATGGGCCTTTCGCCTCCTGGCTGTATGTTCTGATTTTCCCTTCGCTTTATTAGGCATAATTTCAGGATTGTGTTTTGTTTCATCTCCTTCTGAACTTGCAGAAAAGCCCAGGGCACTGATGCAGTGCCCAGCTCTCTGGAGCCACTGCATCCCCCACAGCTCCTCAACGTGTGGGGTGGCTTAAGGAGAAACGTGGCTGGCCAGCCCTGGGGCTCTGACCCCTCTGTTATAGGGGCTAGAAAGACCTGTACCAGGGCAGCCTCTGGTCCTGGCCCCTCACCTGTGGGATATGCTGCTCTGTGGCAAATCTGGTGCTCTCTGGCAGAGCCAGCCTCCCAAATCAGGAGCTCTGTGGTGCAGGGAAGGGCTCTGCTGGGAGCAGCCTGGCCCAGCACAAGGACAAGGGAGCTGAGAGCACGTCTGTTTGGAGCAGCAAGTGGTTTCTGGAGGGTGCTCTGATTTCTTCTGGTGGAGGCAGCACTGAGGAGGGGAGCACATTGTATCTAACAGATAGAAAACTGCATTTCAGTCCATACCACCTAAGAGTGGAACCCTTCTAAGAGTGGAACCCTTCTTTGCAGACATACTGGCATTTTTTGACCCCCATGGTTACAGGCAGGAGGGTGGGTGCCTAAGGGACTGGGTGGTGTTTAGTCTGAAGGTAATTTTAGCACTGCAGCACTTCTTCCTTTGCCTTCCATTTTGCCACCATTTCAGGTGTTGCAAAGTGAGAGATCTCCTTTCCCTGCTATCGCGCCGAGGCTTTAAATTTTCCAGGTGGGAAATAAATCTCAGGGCCCAATCCACAATCTCTGCCAAGATCAGCCATCACCTGCACCAAGGAACTGGGATGCTGCTCATCCCCCTCAACCCTGTGTGTGCTCTGCGTGGCAGCAGCAGCCACAGCAAGTGAAAAGGCTGCAGGTTCACCAGGCTTAGAGGCACAGATAAGGGGGAGGCCAGTTAGAAATCTATTTGGTTTCTTTTTGCAGCAATCTCTTTGTGTAAAAGAGCTTGATGCAGGGGGAACCTGATTACTGCTTTCTCATCAGGTGGAAAAAGAAGTGCTTTATACACAGGCTGATGGAAAACTACTGAGATGCTTTTCAGTTTCCCTCTCTAACCTTTAGAGCTTTCTGGTGCCTTTAAGGGAATAAAAAGCTGGACTGGAAAAGGGGGGAAATATATCAAAATATATTTGGAGATAATGGCAGGTAATACAATAGACAATGCAGCTGGGCAATAAAAAGAGAGGTAAGGGGAAGGCATCAAAAATACCATCAGGGAGTGGAAGGAAAGAAAGAAGACAGAGAGAAAAGGTAAAAGCAAGGAAATGAAGAAAAAAAGCCACTTGTATAATGGGGTGGCAAAGGACAAGGAGGAGATGAGGGAAGGCAGAGGGAGAACAGTGGAAGAGAAATGAAGAAGAGGCCCTGGGTGAGTGATGGAGTGGAGTCATGGGCAGGCACAAGCAGGGAGGAGAAGCAGAGTGGAAATGAAGCAAAGGGAAGTGTGGAGTGGCCATGATGCTGCTGATTTGTTTTCCTTATAGCTGCAGAGTGATGACAAGTGCTTGCATTAATAATGCTTATTCCTGATTATCCAAGGGGAGAGGGAGCCATGGCAGCTGGTGTCGGGTTCAGTGCTGTGGACTGAGAGATGCTGCACCTTTTTCACAGCCTCCTTGGGCTAAAAGGGGAGGGAAAACACTAAGAAGTAGATGATGTCAAGGTCTGGGCTAAGACCCATTGGTCTGATAACCCACCTGTAGATTGCACTTTTTCCTCCAGTGCTGGTAACCTGCCCACCTGCCAGAGGACATTTGGCTCACTGCCTTTCAACTCTGGAGAGCTGAACTTAATTTGATATCACATCAGAGCTATTTCTGATCTGTTTTCATATACACAGGTTCACCCAAGGAGTTCATCCTGCCTATAATCTCATAAACTCAGTGACACAATGCCTGTGCTCAGCTGCATTTCTCATCCCTGCTGTGTATTGACATTGCACACTGATGGTGGCACTCAACATGCCACACTTTAGGTGCCATCACGCTGGCACCTTCCACACCAGCTCCACCATCTGCTTTGATTCCTCTTTCTTTTGTATTATATCTCACTTTTGGGGTTGTTTTTTTTTGCTGCAGCTGCAAAAGCTTTAGGAGCATTCCTATAATAACTCCCATACAGCCTGGTATAGCAGATATTTGGGCTCTTTCATTCTTAGCTGCTGAATTACATTTGGTTATCAACATGCATTATATCTGCTGTCAATTAGCTGTTATCTAACACCGTGAAATGACTTAACTCCTTCAGCCTGTTCAGAGATCTGTCCCTACCAGCGCAGGGCACAGCTTGTATCAGCTTGCAAAGATCCAGGCAATTTTGTCACTTTTTTTTTTTTTTTTTTACTGGTGCTCATTACAGCTAAAGGTCAGTTGTGTTTCCATTGTAAGCCTAGGGATAATGGCATGATCCAGCAAACTCTTTCTTGTGTAAAGTTAACAGAACCATTTGCATAAAAACCCTTACTCGGGGAGTAATTTGCAGGATTGCACCTTTAAAACCTTCGCCTCAGGAGCAAGGCAAAAGCTGGAACCTGGAACAGCAATCTTCCAAAGCCATATTTCATCAGAGGAAACGATCAAAATTTAATGAGGAGAAAAAGGTACTTAATGGCTGTAGATAGTGTAATTTCAGCCATAAAAATGGGATCATCTTGTGAGGCCTCTTGCTGCGGCCTTTCCAATCAATGGCACGGCTGGCAGCAGCCCCGGCGGTTACAGGATGAAGCCCTACAAGATGTCGGGCAAAAGTCCCAACCCGCTGCAAAATGCACACAATGGACCACTTGGATGAGCGACTGGGGCTTTTCCTCCATGAAATCCGTGCTTGGCTCCCAAGTCGTGGTGTGACACCTTCTGTAAGCAGTGGAATCTGAGGCAGGGAGGCCTTGCAGCCGCGGCCCACGCTGCTGGAATCTCAGGAGGGTTTCCCTCTGCTCTCGCAGCAAACGTTTCAAGTGTTCCACCAGCTCGGTTGTTTATCGCACTGGAGACTCCCTGAGGCTCAACACTAGCCTTGAAAATCTATTTACATTTTTAAATATATGCCAAAGTGTAAGCCCTGGGACAATCCAGAGAAGTTAGGTACGCAGAGCAACCAAAATGGAATTTTAAAAACTCCTTTAGCAAACCTTGGGTGAGTATTTCCCCATATTTCCTTGAACAGCCCAAATGTCAAAGGCTAACCTACACATCCCAGGTCACAGCTAAGAAAAGCAACAGATGGATTTGGCCTTTGGTGAGCAAATATTATTCCTGGACGAAGGCACTGCTTTATTTTCCAAGTGTACCAAAATTAGAGAACCCCCTAGTGCTGAATAATTTTGTTCTGCCTTACTGTGAAAATTCCCAGTGTTCAATAGCCCTCCACAAGTTCTCATTTGATCCCTGTAGTGCAGTGCTCCTGTGGCTATATGTCAGCTGCAGTGGTGGTAAACATGTACACACTACTCATTTAGGGGCTTTTAAAAGGCTTCTCACTGTGCCCAGAAATTACACCTGTGCTTTCTTTCTTACCCATGCTGTTGTCTCTGTTTCTCAGGCTATATTAAGCCCCTTTTTTATTTCCCTTTGAAAGAGTGGAAATGTATGAACCCCTTTAAGTCCTGTTTTCTCTCTAGCAGGCAAATTGTTCAGAGGGACAGAGACAGTTAATATGAACGGAGAGGAAAAAAACATGGGGATGGCAGCAGATGTCTGCCCCTCCTGAAGACACTTGACTTTTCAGGAGCTCTGTGGTGTTAGCTGAAATCCCTGGCAGCTGCAGTGCCTGGTTTCCCGGAGACAAGGACCTGTGATATTTCTGACTGTGTTTCCTCTCTCTAGAAATGATGAAGGGAGACAGAGCCTGTGGTAGCCCGAGGAGCTGCGTCAGAGGAGGAGGAAAGGTGGATGCAAGGGTGCAACGAGGCATTGGCCTCCAATAAACTTTTCCATTGTAGGAGAATCTTTCGATATTAAAGATGACCTGATAGAAACAAGAAGAAGAGGAGATGTGGTAAGTAATGTAAAATACCACATCTAAAAGGCTGTTTGATCTGTTTGCACCATACTGCTACAAAGGGGCAATTCAAATAGAGGTCCTGCTAATGTCAGTGGTCAAATTCTACGTTGGTTTCATTTGTGCAACGCTTCATGTGGGAACTTTCACTCAAAAGAAAGACAAAAAAAATCAAAGAAACAAAAAAAGGAATCAACTTCAACTGCTTAAACATCTCTGATAGCGCAATTGTACTTTGGATGGTGTGAAGTTGGTCTGAGAGGCTCTCTGATGAGTGATATGACTAAGAAAATGGCTCAAAGACTTTTGAAGTAAAGTGCTGGTATAGGACATGTTTGGTACCTCCTCTCTGACAGAGACAGAAGTGCTAACAGTGACCCTGCACTGAATTTTTCTGATCCAGCCACCACAGTGACTCTCCTGTAAGAGTCCCTGCATGGGTAGTGGTGCTGCTGTCAGGTCTGGACCTAAGTCCCAGCAGGCTGCCTCTTCCACAGCTCTTAATGTGGCTTTTTTATGAGCCCAGACCCAACTTTTTTCCCAACACATGCCCAATTTGCAATGCCAACCTGGTGTTTTACTGTTAAATATCTGCTGATGCAACTCTGCTGAGAACTTAAGTCTTCAAGTTTTATCCAATTCATTTAAAAATAATAAAGCTCTTGCTCTGCATTTCCCAAATGTGAGAGCCAAGCCTCGGAGGCATTTGCATTAATTATGTTTCAATCTTAAGAAATGCCTTCTGAGCTTCCCCCTTGACTCATTGCAGTTCTTGAATCTCTGACTGATCACGTTGGGAGTGATCAGCATATCTCCTCTCAAGCTCAGATCCTGCTTCTCCATTCTGCAAGTGGAATTATCTCTATATGTCTGCACCCATAAAGAGAAGTGCACTTGTGCTTCCAACTTCCTCAGAGTACCAGACAGTTCTCTGTGCTATGGCTCCTATTAATGCCTGCAATTAGCACTGACAGAAGTGCTCTTCCTCCCTCCCCTCCCCAAAACCACATTTCTTTGATTGCTTTTCTAGAAAATCCCAGGGCATTGTAATACCTCCCTGGTAGTCATGTTTCAACAGAACAGCGAAGTTAGTGAGGCATGACAGTGTTCTTTTTCCTAAACCTATACTGAACATCCTTAATCAAGCTTTGCTTTTTTAAAAATAATGGACCTAATTCTCTTTTGGCTTACAGTATATTCATGCTTGTGTAATTCCATCAGGATGTATCCTCAGCTCCTGTAAACTGTCAGAGCATTTTCAACTTCATTTAAACCTCAGGAAGACTGGTAATAGCTGAAGATTTGGGCTGCTGATTTCCAAGCTATTCCTGATTTATGCCAGTTCAAAAGGATAATGGGTTCAAGCTTTTTTGTTGTTTGTTTTTTTTTGCCAGTAGATATACACTCTTTACCTCATTTATGTCAAACAATACACAAAGTGCCAAACAACTGCTTTTTCCTGACCTCTCCAACCCTCTCCATTCCTGCTGACCCTGTCATAAAGCTTGCAGACCAAGCAGCTCCTGAAAACATCCACCAGTCTCCCTAAAGGCCCTCAGGAGGATCAGGCCAAGCTATCAGGGGAAGTTGCCTCGTGCCATTATACATATATTGTATTTTTTTGTGCTCTCTAAATTAGATGTTGTCTTTCCATATGCAGACATACAGTGACATATTGCCATGGCTAGATTATGCTGTCTCCAAAGATCTCTCAGGAGGAAGCTTATGGATGGCTCAGGACATCTCTCCCACAACCCAACAGCGACGTGTCCTCAGCCACTGCACTGAGCAGGTCCTGCAATGAAGGAGTTGTGTTTAGTTCTTCTCTCTCTCTTCTTCCATTCCCATGTTCCACAGTCACCTGTCTGACCAGCCTCCACAGCTCTGGGAAGAGCAACAGGCAGGTAAGGAAAGTGAAGAGCAGGGAGACAGCGTGTTTCTCCTCAGGAGTGTCAAATCTCTCTTTGGTGAGATCCTGGCCAATTTGAAATGCAAGAAAGATGCGAACCGAGAAAGAAATGCATTGAAGGGCTGCTGGGTTTGACTCCATTCCCGTGACAAGAGAGCACATTTTACAGGGGCAGCACTGTGCCTTGTCTGGTATTAGACTGACGTTTAAATTAGGTACAGGCTCAGTGATAACTCTGATGGCACCTGGGACTTCTGAGTGCAGCACAGGGCAAATAAATAATGATGCCTGTAGCAGTAGATAGAGATGCTGTTACTAACTTTGATACAGCAATGTGAAACACTGGGTGAAACATCACACAGGCTGACAGATTAGAGATTTCACAGGCTTCAGGTACGAGAAAAAAGAAAATAAAACTTGAGCTGAACTTTCTGTGATAAAAGTAGCTGTGGAAGAGGCTTTCAAACACCTGTAAAAGCCACTATGTTGTTCCCACTGGTGGCTGCACCCAATACTTCAATGTAGAAATATGAACTGTATCAATTGAGCTGTAGTTCTGCTATAAATTTTTTATAAACTTGGAGTTTTATGGATCTGGAATACTACAGAATATAGGGCATGAAAGATATTTCAGAGGGAAAGTGCCTAATTGTTGGTTTTGCAGACTGACTGCACTCAGAGACACAACTTGTGATCTATATTGTACTATACTGGCCAAATGTACCTGCAAAGACTTGTTAATTCAGTTCTAAACTATCAGTTATTCAGTTGTTTCTCATCTCCCTTACCAAGCAGCAAAGGGCAGAGACACGTGAGGCAGGTACCAGAAAACTAGAGGAGTGTTTGCATAAGCTTCCTTGACATATTACACTGCAAAAAATACTCAGACATCTGTCAATACATTTTTGGGACTTCCACATAGTGATCTCCCATAGAGGGAACCACATCAGTACTCTGGGCGCTCTCAAAGGTGTAAAGTCAGTTGCCCACAAAATGCTTCTCTGTCCCCAGCCATGCTCTGATGTGTTCACCATTCTGAGTCTCCAGGACTGGAACATGTCTCTCAGATTAAATTAAAAATGCACTCAGCTTTCCAAAATGCTTCATTTCTCATTTGTGTTTGGGGGTTGGCTGCACAAGCCAGAAGAATTTGGTGTCATCTGTTCTGGAGGACAAGCCCTGGCACTTCAAATGTTTCCCTTCCTGTAGGATTATTGTCATCGTTTATCATCCTGTATGTGCAGTACGTTTGATGGTTGAATCCTTGCTCCTGACCCCACCAATGACATCAACAGAGAGAACATCACACTTTCAAGCAATTGTTTCCTCTCAACTGCTGCTCAGCTTTTAATAGAGATTCAGATGAGTAAGTCAGGACAATTTTATGGTGTTCTGCCAGTTGTGACTCATTGGTTTTTCCAACACTCAGGATACCAACGTTTGTGTCCCCGAGAGAGGAGCCTTTCCACGAGTCACTCCAACCCAGAGAGAGCTGCTGAGTCCCTGCTGAGGGTCTGGGCAAGGCTCCCCACACTGCCATGCCCACCATGGGAGCTGTACAAGAGAGGGAAGGCTCTGGGTAAGTGCTCAAACCAACATTTATTAACGGTGCTAATTATTAAAAACTAATGTAGTGTCCTCTCTTCATCATCTTCCCAAATCTTTGGTTCCCCATGATGTTAGGAAATGGAATTAAATGTTGCTTTTGATTTTGATGTGCTTTCTAACCTACATAAAAGCATAACCATGACCATAAGCTCATGAACACTTTTTTGTGAGCTTCAGCCTGATTCAGATACCACATCCTGAAACGTAAATCAGAACTGAGATACACTGGAATAAAGCTGGTTTACGTTAGAGGGGAAAAAACAGACTCAGTTGGGTCTAAATTACCCTATTTCTTGCTGAAGTGCACATCAGTTCCCCTTCCCAGGAAGGCAGGGATTCTCCAGGACATTAGCTGTTTCCTGTTGTGGATAAGATCTATTTGCTGAACCTGCTGTATGTTTGGAGGCCTCTTTCAAGATGATGTTTCATGAAATCAAGTGTAGGACAGTGCCCTCCCTCTCCCCACAGTGCATTAGGGTTGAACTCACAGAAATAAAACAGTTCTTGAAAAACACTTGGTGAATCTACATAATTAAAAATCTTTCCTGCTGGGGGTTAATGATTTGGGGAGATTAACTTGATAATGTAATGTAAAATGTTGAAATCAAGAGTGTGCATCCAGAAATACTGGTGCAGCCCTGCAATGGGAGACAATTTTAAGTAAATAACCAGAGAAAGTATTTTGCAATTAAATTAAAGATGTTTCCAAACTACTGTACTTTGCTATAAAAAAGCATCATCTTGAAAAGTCAAGTTTCATTTATTTTAATTAGCACTGTCATGAAGTATTCCATTCGGCAAACACTGACTAACAAGCCCTTTTCCCAGGCACCAGTTTGAAACGTTTGCATCAGAAAAATAATCACAGACCATTCACATGGTGTCTTCTGCCCCAATTCTCAGGCAGTCAAGATCAGCCACACTCCCCCAAAGTCAGTATGGCACTTGATTTACAGTGGGTGAAAACAGAGCCTTCACCTTCCCTGAAACGCCCTTTGGGTGGTGATGTAAAGTCTACTGACATCCGTTGGATGATTCCTGTTGCTTCCAGAGAAATTCAGGTTCAAAGCTGGGAAGAATCTCTGCTCCCTTTTGCTCTTCTCACACTCGAGCTATTTAACTGGAGAGGCGTCAGTATCAAATTGATGGAAAGCCAAAGTGATCTTGATCCTCCTTTGAGACTTATTGTTGAATTGCATTATATATAAGCAGAGAAGCTTTTTTATTATTAATGGGATAGAAAATCAGAACCATCAAGGAAAATAATATAAGTCCTATTAAGATGGATGAGTAAAGTTAAGTCTATGTATTCCTGACAAGATTGCTCTCTGTGACTCCTGTAAAAGTGTGTCGCCCTCTCGAGGGAAAACCTCACCCAGGTGGAAAAATGCTGGAGGAAATGCCATGAACTCCTCCTGGGCAGCTGCCCAGCCTGGCAAGGAGTTGTGTAGGCAGTGCCCACACACGTCCAGGCACGAGGCTGCTTGGGTGGATGGTCTGCTCCAGGGTGGTAAATCTGGGCCTGCCACCCCAGGAGCTGACCTTCCTTAGGATCTCTTGCTTAAATCCCTTTCTCTGTCATCCAGTTTGTTTTCACATCTGCCAAGTATTGAGGCTCCTTCTGCATGTCCAATGAGGGGATTATTTTGCAGGCTTAAATCTCACTCCTAAAAAAAGAAAGTTACACTGATAATACTTGTTGTCTACGCGGGGAGGCTGGTGAGAAATAAATAGAAGTGAGTGTGAAGGGCACCGTCAGTTCTGCAGAAATGCCTCTTTTTTCACGTGGCTACCATCACATCCAGAGGGCTCAAAGCAGCCTTTGTGCAGCACAAGGTATCCTCCCAGGAGGGAGTGAGGAGCAGCCCTTCTTGGCTGCTCCCTTATTTAGGTACATAAAATCTGGATATTCCCTTCTGATTTCATGCTGTTGCTCATAGCTAAAAACCCTTGTTCCACCTTAATTTATCCCTTCTCCCTGCCAACGCCCTTCAAATACTTACAGGCTCTTCCCTCTTCCTTGCCATTTAGCCGTGCTTTAATCTCACCTCTTTATTCATTCATCACAAATCAATCTCTCCGGCCCCTAATCAGGGCAGTGCAGCCGCTGTGCCGGGAGCTCCCTCCCGTCTGTGTGTCACTAACGAGCAGGACCAAGTGCCCCGAGTGACGCTCAACGCCCAGCCCTGGGGTGTCATGTTTTCCATGTGCTGCCCCCACCTGCCCCCTGTGACGCCTCCTAATGCAAAATCAAGGTCTGCTTTCCTCCTGCTGGCAGCCCTACCTATCTACATCCCCCTTGGTATCATTTGAGGAAGAATGGCTTTGTACAGATAATAATAATAATTTTCATTTCCCCATTCAGAATCTGCTCTTTTCTCCTACCTGTGAGTAACTGATTGAGTGATAAGGACACTCCCTCTTTCCTTCTTGCCTTATAATAAGCACCAGCACATCTCTGCTGGTGTTGAACTCGGCAAGTGTGCTCTCTGCACCTTCGAGTGGATCCTAATCCAAACATTACATGGCTGAAAGCATTCGAGTGCTTAAAGGATCCACTTTTCCCTCCATTCCCCAAGGGTATTACACACAAACCAGCCTGGCAGCAGGTCCTTCCCCAAACCTTTACAGCAGCAGCAAGACCTCTGAACAGTCTCTGTCTGCACAGACTCTTGCATCTGATTTCCTCCCCATTGCTAATCTGCAATCTTCATCAAAATTGCTACTATTAGGTTGTCTTTCACTGTGTTATTCCCACCCTGAATGCTTCTAACACTTCATCTCGGCACCCCAGAGTCAGCTCTGTCACCCCTTTATTTTGAATTATACCGGTCTACAAAACCTTCCCTTGAAGAATATCTTTATCTTTCTTAGTGTTTGCACCCAGTAGAGCTGCTGGGCGAGCTGGTCCCTGTCTGGGGTTCTTCAGGCACCCAGGGGCAAGCTGAGTGTTAGATTTGGAGCCAAGAGTACAGCTGTCTCCCGGACCAGAGTGGCAGGATTTTGTTCTGGTTTATTTTCTTGTTACTCCTTAAGAAAATGTTGTATGTCTTAGCAGCCAGACAAGGGGTCCTTCCTGCCCTCCCTGCAGAGCTGTGCAGTTGTGTTTTTTTCATCTGTCACTGCAAGTCTGTATGTGTTAGATGGTGAGAGAGAACTCACAGCTGGAGGTACAGGGTAGATGTTGCACAGATTCCTCTGAATCAAACTCAGGAGGAGCTGTTGAGGGCACTTGGTCTGTTCAACCTGGAGGAGACTGAAGGGAGACCTCACTGCAGTTACAACTGCCTTGTGAGGGGAAGAGGAGGGGCAGGCACTGATGTCTCCTCTCCAGTGAGCAGTGACAGGACCTGAGGGAATGGCCTGAAGTTGAGTCAGGGGAGGTTTAGGTTGGGTATTAGAAAAAAGTTCTTCCCCCAGAGGTTAGTCAGGCACTGAACAGGTTCCCCAAGGCAGTGGTCACAGCACCAAGGCTGACAGAGCTCAAGAAGCATTTGGATGATACTCTCAGGCACATAGTGTGACTCCTGGGGAGGGTCCTCTCCAGGATACTGGTTCCCTTCCAACTCAGCAGATTCTGTGACCCTGTGATCATCTGCAGTGGTGGCAAACTGGACTGGATGATTGCTCTGATCACTCCTACTTCTGTGATTCTACCCTTTCTCAGTTTAATTTGCTTATGTTACACCACCATTGGGGTGTTCTGAGTATCTTCTCTTCTGTGCCTGATTCCCAAGATGCTCCTTTTCTGTTCTTTTATTATTATCCCCGTGCAGGGGGATCTGGCCTTCCCCTTGAAGAGCTTCTGCAAGTGACTACATCCTTTCTCATCACAAAGCGGCTTCCAGTGATTTACAAAGATTTCTGTTCTCCCTCTCCTCTTCATCCTCTGGGTAGCTTTGACACCCTCAATTACCATGTACTCCTGCTCCTTTACCAGTAAACTGCTCCTTCCACTTGGCTCTCCCAAGCAAGCTGTCCTGCTTTCCTACCTCTCCCAGCTTTCAAGGCAGCCCAGCCAGTGCCATTAAATCAGGTCCCTCTCCAGTTCACCTCACATTCAGTGGGGTGTAACAGGGTGAAATTCCCCAGTTTCTCACACCAATTTGATCAGGTACTTGTACCCCACACTTAAAATGAACCATTTCTCAGTACGGTAGTAACTGCTGCCCTCAACACCCACGTAGCATGAGATGACTGTTTTTTTTATCTCAGTATGATGGACTGAACTATTCATGGCAATGTCAGAGATCAGAAGGAGAAGGACAAGGCTGAAACCAGGGGAACAGACCCAGGGCAGTAGGGAGGAAGCTTGGTGATAAAAGAAATTGGTGAGATGACAGCGAGACGAGCTGCGATCTAAGCCCTCCTCATACCTTGTGTTTTTACACGTACATTCAAAACATGTGTCAGGGCTTGAGATTGTTTTCTCCTTTCTGGAGAATTATTTTGTCCTTCCTTTAGCTGACAGCCATTGGGGAGAATGAAACGCTTTGGGTAGCCTCAAACACCTTGCTGAGCGTTCCGTTGGTCGAGGCACAGCGATGTTTTATTGCAGCTGACACCAATCAAGGCAAATAGACAAAGTGAGAATTTTTATGAGGGATCCATGAAAAGAAGGGAATAAGTGAAGTGAATTTGGTCTCACAATTCAAGGAAAGGGGTAAGTAGGTCTCAGGAAAAGGTTCAGCTTATCAACACCTCATGCTTTGCGAGGAACAGGTTCTTTTACAAAGGACTCTGCAGCCTCTGCAAAGCTGCTCTGGCAGGATGAGTGCTTGGTACCATCTCTGTTCCTGGGATCTCATGGCACATTCAAGGTCATGGGAAACTGGTGTTAGGGAGAAAAAAGAGAAACAGGAACTATGACCTTGTCCATCATAAAAGATTGAGCACTTGTGAGTCTGGTCTCAAAAGGATTAAATTCTTGTATGTTTGTTCTGAGGTGGCACCTGTGGCCAACAGCAAATCATTACCCCCTGGACTAACTAGTACACAATGACAGAGGGCTGTGACAGAAATGCTGTCCAAAGGCAAGGGAAATTCTTGTCCTTCCAGTGACTCTGATCCCAGTGCTTATCACTCTGAATTAATTACCTCTGAATATCCTCATCAGGTACTAAGTTAGAGGAAAACACTACAAGGCATCAGTGACTGACCTTGCTGGACAGCCAGGACAGGATCATGACACACCAGTCCTCAGCCATTGAAGTGGCACCAGGTAGGGGAATTTTAAAGCAAGATGTGATGAGTTGGAGGCTGAACTTGGTTATATGGTGGTGAAGCACCCACCATCAGGGGAGCTCCCCTGGGCTGGCATTGGTGGGAAAGGCACAGGGAACACAGGACTGATGGGGAGTTAGAATGGCCTGAAGCAAACATCTATGCTGACTTGCTCATATGAAAAAAGGTGACAAATTTTTGCAACTAAATGCAGAACTGTTTGAAATTCACAGTTCATCACAGCCCATTGTGAATTCAAGAACACTCCTTCTTTCAAAGGAAATTTCTCTGATGTTAAGAAAAAAACAGGCCACTTTCTAGTAAGAGTGACCATCAAGCAGGCCTGCTCCTGAGTGAAGCTTTGATAATATGAGTCCATTTTCCATGGCTTTGGCATTAAAAATACAGAGAAGGGCACTTTGTCCACAGCTGGTACAGAAAACAGACATG